AAATAACAGTTATGTTTGTGTAGTTGTCAATTTTTATTGTCATTCGAACACACACAGACCACAGACTCTACATTGACAGCAACTTTTACTGTCAAATTCAGCACAGTTCCTAGGGAGAGAGATCATTTGCAGTGATGGCGGGGGAAAGGAAGCAGGGGGCTAGGGACAACCCCTTCCCCTTCCATTCTGTTTTTTGCTCCTCAAACAGGTGCAGGTCTCATGCATTCCCTCTTCCTGGTCCTTCATCTTTTCTTTTTAATGTCTTTGTACCAAAAGTGGGTGCACTTGAAAAATTTCTACCAGACTGACAGATCTTACTGGTTCTGCCAGCATTCCTCATTTTAAGTAAAGGGAATCTCTCTCAATCCAGTAGAATCCATCTGTGATGGGGTGGACTAGGCCCTGAGGCCCCTGCTGGAGGCTTTGTGGCCCTGCCACACCCTGCCCCAGAAAAGGGCAATAGAGAGGTCCTCCAAGTTGCCTAGAGCGGCTGTGTGGCACGCAGCCAATCAGGGCCCAGCAGGTCAGTATAAGATGAGCTGCAGCACAAGAATGAGTTCAGTTCCTTGCTAGAGCTGGAGGAGGGTGGATGGTGTGCCAGTCTTGCTGCTGGGACTCCACAAGAACAAGGCCTTGAGGTAAGGATGAAGAATGTGCAGGAGCCACAGGGAAGTGGCCCAGGAAATTATAGCGGCAAAGCAGTTTATTTAAAAGGACACTGTGGATGGCTACTATCTATAGGGTCTGTGGGCTAGGACCTGGAGTAGAGGGTGGGCCTGGGTCCCCAGCAACTGGGAAAATGGCCTAGACTTTGAGGCACCACAGAAGGGGAACTGAACTGTAGTGGCCCAGCTTAAGAGCTGGGGCCAGAAAAGCCCTGAGAGGGCAAAGACATTGCCTCCAGGGAAGGAGCCCTGAGGCACTGCTCTATTCCAGAGCAGGGACAAACTGAGACATCACAGAGGGCACTAAGAGGCCCCTGTTGGACTTGTACCCCAAAAGGGGTTTGGTTTGCTTTGCTTTGATCTCAGACAGACTGTGTATGACTTGGCTGGAGGGCTGAGTCACCAAAGACCCACCACAAACAGAGAGGGAGTGCAGGCACATGCACTTGGCCAGGGGGCACTTGTGAGAGGTGAGTGCAACCCTGTTACACCTTCCAAGCAGAAGAATATTTTTATGTGCATTCTCTCTCCAGGGTGGAGATTTTTTTGGTTAATTAAAAAACAAACCCACCAAAAAAAAAATCCATCCACCCTAAACTGAAGTTCAAACTTAGAGACATAGCCAGAATTATTCCCAAACCCTCATAGCACAAAGGCAGCAGTGACTTCAGTCCCACAAAAATGTTTGTTCTTAGAGCTTTTGAACTCTCAGAAGAGAGCAGTATCTTGTTTTGTAACCATTATTTTCCATTTCTATAGTGCATTTCACCCTGAAAGATCCCAAAGCAATTTATAAATTATGCACGCATTACTTAATTCATGGCTAACAGCTGCTGTGTTCCATGCTAAACAGCCCATAGCAACTCCACATGCCAATTTAGGACAGGAAGGTAGAAAACCCTGTGCAACTAAAACTACACTGAGATTTAAGGAGGCAGAAAGTAATTACTCACACTGGAAGTGTTGCCAGGGCACCTGAATTAGCTTCCCTACTGCTATAAACAATGCCATGGGCTCTTCAATCACAAGTGGTCAGGAGCTCAGCTTTGAGTTAATAGTGTGATCTCCTATATCCCCACCCATTGCTTCCCAAAGTACCTATACGTTCTTTGGATATCTCCCATTCCTGCACTAATTAGCCCCAACGCTTCTCTTGTAATGTCTGAGAGAATCACTGTCTGAAGAGGCAAGACTTAAGAGTTTTTTAAAGGACTTGTTTTACTTCTCTATAACCTGCCTGGGTTTGCTGTAGACTAGATTATAATAAGTCTATTCATTGTATTTTCAGTTGCTGGGTGAAGTGTGGTTTAAATTCATATAATATTGCAGGAATCCACACAGTAGGCTCTATGTAAAACACCTATCAAGTTCTACAAAAGCCAGAAAATCCAGCAATTGCCCTGTGTTTATAAAGTAAAGCCCATGAGCATTTCCATGGCATACAGAGTCACAAAAGAACTAACTTCATTTGGTCAAACATTCAAGGCACAAACAAGTAGTGTAGGTCCAAATTTTATGTACAGGGGAAAATGTGTATTTTCAGAGTTTTAAAAATCAATGTAAATGAGGTGGTTTGAAGATCAGTACAGGTTTTAAACCAGTGTCTGAATCACAAATATAACAACTGATGTGCAGCAAACTGGGCTTAATATCAGAAATAAGCAAAACTGTCCAGTTTCACTGCTGACGCTGAGGGAAGTGAAGGTGAAGACAGATAGCATCAATACTGGTAAGTCACTTAGAGTTTAAAGTTCTTTCAGTTTTAACAATCTAGCTGGTGTTGGTAAACATTTCATTTTCAAATACAGGATCATCTTGGCAGTACCCTTTTAAGAAAATGCAGATTTTTCTAATCTCTCTCTTGCTTACATTAAGGGGAATTCTTCATGTACTGAACAGGCACATACAGTATACAGCAACTGGAGGTCTATTGTAGTGCTCCACCTGGGGAGCAGGAAGGAGTTCCACAAAGGACAGAGCCCTACTTTCCAAAGCCAGGTTTAGTGAACAGGGATGTAATCCCAGATTCTTCTCCCCCCCCACTCCCCAAAAAAGCTCTGTTTGTCCCCATTATGCTAAAGACTTATTTATAATAGACCTGGGAGGGAGTGGAGTTCTTTCCCGATGCCTCACTCTGTGACCCACTGGGTAGTCTACCAAAAGACCTTCCCTTGGCTATCTACATTAATTTCAATTCCCAGCTTAAAAAGCATTAGTGCATATGCTTTATGTTCAACTGGACATTGTTTGGTCCACAGGCAACTAGTCAGTCAAAGGGAATTCACAACATTCTCTCTACAGCATTGCTTTCCTGTTATGATGGAAACTTTGTAAATCAGATTATCAAAAAAGGCTAAACTGAGTTATGACTATAACTTACACATCCAGAAGTCTGGCCCTCCTGTAATGAGGGATGTGCCCATGATGGAGGAGGGAAACAAGAGAAACTCACAAGTTTAAGCCATGCCTACTGTCACTCTTTATGGAGAAGCAGCAAAGAGCCAGACAAAAGTTCTGTGATAGTAGAACAAATACATTTTATACTCCTGGGGGGATTCTGCGCTACTGTGCATGCACAGAATGTATATCCCCTGCAGGGAAGCAAAGAAATCTGTAGAAAAAGGACTTCCTGATAGGAAAGCAAAGGGAAGCCACAAGAGCGGTCATGTGCTCCTCCCCAGCAGTATGTTTTGGGTGCCCAGGGCAGCTGGCAGAGAGGTAAATCACTGTGGGGTGGGGGGCTAGGGAAGACCCGTCTGGTGGCTCCTACCCTGCACCAGGCTCAGCTGCTAGTCCTGGCTGGGGAAGATGAGACTTCCTCTTCACCTGCACAGCATCCAGGGCTGGGTCAGACCCACTCCCAGATTTCTCCCCCCAGCTGCAGGAAGCTCTGCAAACCCCCCCCCTCCCCTCCCCCACACACTTCCTGTACCCATAGCTCCTCAGATGCAAGGGAGGGATCCCTGTACAGGGAGCTGCTCCCCCATGCATCCAGACCCTCCTGCCGAGCCTCACCCCCCCCCCGCACTCAGACCCCCCCTGATGAGCCCCACTTCACCTGGACCACCCTGATGAGCCGCCCACCCACGGCTCTCCACCCCACCAAGCCCCAAACACATGGAGTACTCCCCCAGCATCTGAACGCCCACTAAGCCCCAACACCCAGACCCCCCTGCCAAGTTCTATTCCCCCATACCCAGACCCCCCTTGCTTAGCCCCAAACACCTTCACCTGGATCCCCCCTGCAGAGTCCCATTACTATTGCACCAAGAACCCCCTCCCCCAACAAGCCCCTGTGCATCCAGATCCCCCCCTGAGCTGCCCACACCCAGGTTTCCCCACACAGAACCCTCTCAAATCCACACCTGGATCCCCCAGACTAAGCACCTCCACACTTGGATCAAGCCTGCCTGCCCACACCTTGCACAGAAGGGAAGAACCCTGGGGTGTTTCTGAGGCAGGTCCAGTCCTTGCCCTGTGTCAGGGTTGTGTGCAGCCTCACCGCTGAGTCAGTGTACCAGGGGGGTCTGCACAGTGATCTCCCACCTCTGTGCAGCCAATGGCCTGTGCTCCCCAATGCCATGCTGGAACCTCCACATTTATTTGACAAATAAAATTTGCAGAATTTTAAAATATTGTGTGCAGGTTTTTTATTTTGTTTGGTGCAGAATGCTCTCAGAAGTAATATTTTTGCTTCTAAACTAAATCCACTTGTTCAACTGAAAGGGATGCTGACAGAAGAGCCAAATTTTAAGACTGATCGTATCAAAGTCAGGGAGCTAGAGACAACTGGATTTTTTTTTTTTAAACCAAAAAGAGGGGAAAATGGGGTTTCACAAACTACGTGGGTTTTTTTGTTTGTTTTTGAATTGAGATTTTTCACTTGTTTTTTGAAAACCAAAATATTTTGAAACTTGGGATTTGTTTTCTCCACTTGTCACTGAATACAAGAGAAAATTATATCAAGAAATCCTCCCTGTTCCTTTTTCCACTATTACTTTTCAAAGCTTCTCCAACTTTCAAAAATTGAGAGTGGAGAAAGAAGGGGGGGGGGGGGGAAGAGTGGAATACACACACACACCTCCCCCCAGTATCATTCACTCTATTACTATCCATGGTAACATGTCAACTATTAAGAAGCCCTCTTAGTGTGGAAGATGGCAAAGGAAAAAACTATGCTATGAGCCGATGGCCTCCCATCACCAGACAGACTATATTAAAGATCTAGGTAGAAATGAACTGGGGGGAGGGGAGATAATCAAGGCTATGGATTCAAATCAATAATTAATTCTATTGTTGTGGGGAGAGGATGACGGGAGCTTGAAGGAAGCTTACCTGAGTGGGCCATAGTTCAACATTACAAAGGCCAATATCACCATCACACACACAGCTCTTCTCTTGGGAGAGGGGATTTTACGATTCTGGTTCTAAACAGGGAGACGGAGCACATACTCAGTGTAAGTGAGGGTTTGAAAACACAAATGCATTTCAGACGCTCTTACTCACCCATTTCTCCTAAGGCTATGTCTACACTGGCAGTTGAATGACACAACTTTTATCTTTCAAAAGTGTTTAACCCCTCCCCCCCCCCAAAAAAATAAAACAATTTTCCCATGACAAACACCAGCGTGAACAGCATGAACGCTGCTTGTTGGGGGGCAAAGTTTTATGTCAGCAGGAGAGCCGACAAACAGCGGCTACACTGCACAACTTCTAGCAGCACAGCTGTAACGACACAGCCATGTCACTAAAAGCTGTGTAGTGTAGACAAAGCCTATGCCTCAGGTAGTATCCTGACCATGGGTCTACTCTTCCTTTCTTTCCCACTTCTAATTGAAGGGAAAGTGATTTTTAATTAGCTTGGTGTAGCTCAAATACCTGTCAATCAGTAGAAGAAAAGCTCTTTGAAGGTTCAACTACTTTAGCTCTTACATTTAAGGCTATGAGTTTCCCAATCCACAACACTGGGTCCTCCAGGAATGAGGTGCATGCAGTATAACAGGGAAGACAAGCCTAGATATTTTTAAAGTGAAAAAAAATTGAGGAAAGGGGGAGTTTTCCAGGCCTTCTTCACACATTTAAATACTACGAAGGCCAGTCTAACACTTGCTTTTTCAGCCCCTCTTTTAGTCACCTTTAATGGGTTTGATCTGAAATAAAGACACCTTGATGGAGAATGAGGTGTTTAAGGAAGTCTCTGGTATAATCTCTCTTCCGCAGATAGTTGCTAGAGGAAACTGAAGTGAATTATAATAGGAATTATGTAGCGGGATTAACATTTGGAAGCTATCCCACAGAAATCTGCAATCCTGAAATTGTCCTGCAGATCGTTTCTCCCTTCTTCCATGCCAGTGAGAGCAGAGGCTCCCAACAGTGCTGCTCCTGCACACAGCATGCCCAAGCAGGAGAATAAAGGGAAACTGACTAGGACTATCACTTGGTTCTTTTCTGCTGCAATTATTGCTTGAGAAGCAGAAACACCCTCCCAGTCATATGGGGAAAGAACAAAGAGCACCATAGGGATGGGGTGACAATTTTTAAATCAAGATTGGGTATTTTTCTAAAAAGATATGCTCTAGGACTTATCCCGTGAAAGTTCTATGGCCTGTGTTATATAGCATCGAGCAGATGATCACAGTGGGCCCTTCTAGCATCACTCTATGCTTCTATGCCAACAATTCTGAATGAGGGCATGGAGGGAGCATAACTGCATGTGAGAAGCATATCACTTAATTTAGTGTGGAGTTTCCTCCAAATGTCAATTTAATTAACAATGGTAATTAGCTGTGTAAGTAAACAAACGTAATTCAGAAATGATGCATCTAGCAGTGCATCTGGACAGCATGCTTACATGGGGACTCTGGCTCCAGACCAGCAGGTGAGGGAAAAGGAAGGGGGAACATGATGAACATGTGCATTATTTTAAACTAATAGCAGATAACAGCCATCCCTATTGCCCCCCAGTTGTTGGCACATGCCATTATGATGCCTATACCAACACAAGTTCATTACCATGCTGGTCTAAGCAAAGCACAGCATGGATTTTGTCCTTCCACAAACTCTTCTTACCTCTAACACCAATTCCTCCAGCTGCCTCTTCAGTGAGCCATTCTCTCTCTTGAGCTGCTCATTCTCCAGTAAGGCAACCTTCAGCCTGGCCTCCAGCCCCAACATGTATTCCTTCTTCTTCCTGCGTGACTGGCAGGCTGACTCCCGGTTTTTGATCATGCGTTGCTGTCTTCTCAGGATGTTAATCTAGATGGGGACCAAGCAGTCTGGTTAAAATAGGGAACCCTCACCTACTTGCACATTGGTCATCTCATACACAATTTCTGCTCTGCTACTTTTTCAGCCAATTGAGCACTTCTATCCAAAAGTTCCTAATGTGTTCATCACCACAGCATCTAATCTCCTATCAGGATATACCCCCAAGAATTAGATCACAGAGGGAATGAAAGAATTATGTCCCAATTTCTTCTCTTTTCTGACCTGTACTCTTTCATATTTCCTTGGCACAAACTGGTACCCACCATATACAGGAGTGCTGGACAACTGCTGTGCTTGTGCAGCAAATGATTTTTAGGGACCAATTTATGACGAAAGGTAAAGAACTTAACATGCACAGTTTGTAAAAATCTTGACTAAGAGGGGACATAGTCATCAACGGCAGTGATTATATGCACTACACTACAGCATACTGTAACCAACAGGTATAAGCATCAAGCAGACAGGATTGTGCACGGTGGTATCAGGAGGACGAAGAGCAATAGAATGAAATTAAAGAAAATGTAGGCTCAGTGTCAGGAAATTTGTAAATAGTGACATTAACTCAAATTATGAGATTTCTACCAGTCCCCTTGGGATACTATTTCAGAGGCTATTTAAAACTGGACTGAACAAGGCACTGGTAAATAAACTCTTGGGTTTGCAGGCAACAACCCTGAACTGTGTTGCAAGGGAAGTTTTTTCCTATTGTCCTCAATGTTGGTTTATAACCTAAAGCCTAAGAATTTATCCTTCCAAACTCTGAGTCTGATTCTGATTTACACGAAGGCCCATTTACTGAACCAAACGAGTTGCCAAAGGAGGGATTGAACAGGCAGGAAGAGAAGCAGGAAAAGCCAACAGAGGGCAGGATTTTAAAAAGTACAGAGTGGTTGACCATGTCAAAGGTCAAGGAGGATGAGAATGGAGGCCTTGCTGCTCTTTAATTTATCAGTTTGTTCCAGCACCTTCTCTTTCAACATCTCAATCTGACACTGGACACTGCTTCCACTGGAATAAAACCAAGCACAGAAACTTTTCCATTGATCAATTTAATAAAAGAATATAAATTTGAGACCTAAGATGACCTGAAAGCACCCTGCTAAAGACAAGAATGGTCATGGTCCACACTAGCATTATCTGGAGCTAGTTTGCTACCCCTGCCTTAACAAATCTTCCATTGAGTTTCTTTTCTGCATAGCCTAGGAATGGGAATTGTGTTCTTGCTTTATTATGGAGAGACATAGTTAAAGATAAGGAACAACTTCCAATAAACCACAACACGGTGTGTGGTGTTGTTATACAGTAACTCCTCACTTAAAGTCATCCCGGTTAACATTGTTTCGATGTTACCTTGCTTGTCAATTAGGGAACATGCTCGTTTAAAGTTGCACAGTGCTCCCTTATAACATTTTTTGGCAGCTGCCTGCTTTGTCCACTGCTTGGGGGGGGCTTGGAAACAGGGTGGACTGGCAGCTCCCTTATCAGCTCCCCGCTCCCCTAAGTTCCCTGTGCAGCAGTCGCCCAGCAGGCTATCAATTGCCGGCAGTTCAGCTGCCCGTCCCCCCACTGCCATGTGCCGCTCCTGCCCTCTGCCTTGGAGCTGCTTCCGGGAGCCTCCTGCTTGCTGTGCAGGGGAGGGGGAAAGAGGGGCGGGCTAATGTGAGTGTCCCCCTCCCCCCTACTCCTGCAACCCGCTTACCCCTTCTTCATATAGAGAAGGGTGGGGACAGGACAGGGCTCAGGACAGAGAGAGCTTGCTGGCCACAGCTCCTGTCTCAACTTGATCTTTTTAAAGGCAATGTACTTAGAATGGTGTCAGCACACTTAAAGGGGCAATGCACATCTCTCTCTCTCTCTCTCCCCCACACACAGGGTGTGTGTCTCTGTCTGCCATGCTATCTTCCCTCCCTCCATTTGTGCTGCCTTGTAGAGTCTGAGGCTACATTAACAATGTGTTACGCCTTGAGGGCTCAGCCGAATGCTAGTTCATCATTTAGCAGTAAGGCATTCCCTGGGAAATATCCCACCCTCTAACTTCACCACCTCAACCAAACTTCACAATCATCATTGCTGTGTACAGTATTAAATTGTTTGATTAAAACTTATACTTTATATATAAAAAATGGTGTTTTTTGTCTGGTGAAAAAAATTTCACTGGAACCTAACACCCCGCCCCCTTTACATTAATTCTTATGGGGAAATTGGATTTGCTTAACATCGTTTCGTTTAAAGTAGCATTTTTCAGGAACATAACTACAACGTTAAGTGAGGAGCTACTGTATTTGTATCGGCCTGGAGTGCACTGGAGCCACAAGACTGAAAGTTAGATGTTTTCATCCACCTCAAGAGTACTCCAATAGCCTAATAATGGACACACTAGTGGCTTACAACTGTTAGAGTATGGTTATTAAAAAGGAACATAATTTGAATAATTTTGGGAGTAGGGATTTGTGAAAATCAGTAGAATGATAAAAGAATAGCAGAGTCCGTAAACTCTGCAAGCCAGACAGTTTTGGTTGAGGCAAATACAGGAGACAAAGTTAAGGTTATTTGTGGCAGCTTTCCTCTAAGTTTTCTTCCTGCAGATAACTGTCTCAAAATTACAGTATTCTGCTGTGCAGCGTTTGCAGCTAATTTTCCTTGCAGACACTGACAGTCATTCGATCATTCTGAAGAAGCCACATGGCTAACATTTCACTACTATTCTTCTTCATGATATTACAGCAAGGTTACAGAGACCAAGAAAACAAGCTACAATGCACTAAGGATTTGGCTTCTCTCCCTGCTGATCTAATTGCGTTCTGTAAAGATCATTTATAATATGGCTAGTCTGCTGCCACTGACATAGGGTATGTCTACACTACAGGATTAATCCGAATTTAGATAATTCGAATTTGGGAAACAGGTTGTATAAATTCGATTGTGCGCGGCCACACTAAGCACCTTAATTCGGTTTTTAACCACATTAATTCGGTGGTGTGCGGCCACACTACCCCATTAACTTAAACACAGTAATTCGGTGGTGTGCGTCCACACTAACCCTAATTCGAATTAACAAAATCGATTTAGGCTCTACTCCGTTCGTCGAGGTGGAGTACAGAAATCGATTTAAAGGGCCCTTTAATTCGAATTAACTGGCTCTGTAGTGTGGACGGGTGAAGGGTTAATTCGGATTAACGCTGCTAAATCCGAATTAATCCCGTAGTGTAGACCAGGCCATAATCCTGTGAAAATGAAGCTGTTTGTATTTATTCCAACTTCTTTGTGGGGGTTTTGGGATTTGTTTTTTTTTTTTTTTATGTTCTCACTATTTGTTTGGGTACAGCATTGCAGTTCCTTCCTGTCAGTTCTTTCTCTGCTTCCACATCTGTAAGCATTGAGCTTTGTGCACAAACACTTTTCTGGGCACTGCTGAAACTTTTCAGATACTGCAAAACACATTCGATTTTGCAAGCATATAAAGCCTTTTAAGAAAACAGGGTTTTAGATGAGCAAGACATTTGGCTATGATAAGGTCTGGAGGCTGAGAGAGCTTCAACTACCCAGAGTTCAGATAATCGGTATTATACTGGAGATGTAAGATACAACATATTCCACAGTCACACCGTAGTTCTGGTTTCTATGAGCCACACAGTATTTCAGTCAACAAACATTAAATGTCTATTTATTTAGGTAAAAGGTCTGGAATCCTGGAAGTTAGACAGAGGAAATAGATTGGGGCCCCATCCAGACCATCCCCCAGGACCTGTGCAGGATTATTTATTACAGTATATCCGCCAGTTTAATTTAGATGTCTCAAACTTCGGCGCTTCTACTCCTTCCCTTTGGAGAATGTTCCAGAGTGAGAAAAAATGTTGATAACCCAAACTTGAGAGTATTTTTGTAAAGAAAGGTTAAAATCCTTACACAAGAACTTTGTATTTATCAAACAGCTATGAGAAACCCACAAAATTCAGAGTTAAGATTAAATTTAAAAGAAAATCAAATATTGGCAAGAACTGAAAAACACAGATCAGGCACCTAAGCTACTTAAGCTCTACACTTTTACCCTGTAGATAACAGCAGAGATGCATCAGCCTCCCTCCAGTGTCTCTGCTATGTTGGCTGCTGAAGGAACACTAGGAGAAATCTACACCCAACAGAGTTAAGGACAATAAGAAAGAGTTGTTTAAATGTATTAGGAACAAAAATAATCCTCACAAAGGTACTACTCCATTATTAGATGGAAATAGTAGAATTATCAATAATAATACAGAAAAGGCTGAGATGTTCAATACATATTTCTGTTCATTATTTTGGGGGGAACAGAAGTGATGCAGTCTCATCATATGGTGATAACACTCTTTTCATTCCACTAATAACTCTAGTAGGTTCTGTTTAACATCCTGCAAAGTCGGACATTTTTAAATCAGCAGGTCCAGATAAGTTGCATCCAAGAGTTTTAAAAGAGTTGGCTCTGGCATTTGCTGGACTGTTAATGTTGATTTTTCAATAAGTCTTGGAGCACTGGGGAAGTTCCAGAAGAAAGCTAATGTGCTAATATTTAAAAAGGATAAATGGGATGACCTAAGTAATAATAGGCCTGTCAGCCTGACATTGATCCCATGCAAGATAATAGAGCAGCTGATATGGGACTTGATTAATAATGAACTCAAGGAGGGCAATGTAATTAATTCAAATCAACATGGGCTTATGGAAAACAGATCCTGTCAAACTAAATTGATATCTTTTTTTGACGAGATTACAAGTTTGGTTGATAAAGGTCTCCGTGGGTCCTGCGTTTCCTGATGGATTTCGCTAGCCTCAGAGGCTCACTGTGACCCTGCACTTAACCCTTCTCTCTCTAGAGAGACAAGAGTCACAGTCTACTGAGCCATTTTTATCATAAGCCAGCGAGGGAGGTGAGAAGCTATCCTCCCTTGCACAGTCTCTGTTGTCTCCCAGTCTCAGTGATTAATCAGGGGGGTATGGGGGGGAGGGAGCCCGGA